CTGATCAGTCTTCTCCTTGTCTGAGCTGAAAGTTTAGAGAGACGGCCAGGTCTTGGTAGATTTGCAGTGGTCTGATACTCCTTCCATTTCAAGATGATCGCTTGCACAGTGCTCCTTGGGATGTTTGAAGCTTGGGAAATCTTTTTGTATCCAAATCCGGCTTTAAACTTCTCCACAACAGTATTACGGACCTGCCTGGTGTGTTCCTTGGTCTTCATGATGCTCTCTGCGCTTTCAACAGAACCTTGAGACTATCACAGAGCAGGTGCATTTATACAGAGACTTGATTACACACAGGTGGATTCTATTTATCACCATCAGTCATTTAGGACAACATTGGATCATTCAGAGATCCTCGCTGAACTTCTGGAGTGAGTTTGCTGCACTGAAAGTAAAGGGGCCGAATAATTTTGCACGCCCCACTTTTCATTTTTTTATTAGTTAAAAAAGTTTCAAAAATCCAATAGATTTCGTTCCACTTCACAATTGTGTCCCACTTGTTGGTGATTCTTCACATAAAATAAAAAATTTATATCTTTATGTTTGAAGCCTGAAATGTGGCAAAAGGTTGAAAAGTTCAAGGGGGCCGAATACTTTCGCAAGGCACTGTAACTGTTTCTATTATTCTGAAGCTGGACACAGTGAAGACAAAAGCAAAACATTTTGAATTACATACTGAAAGTTATTGAGCTGCAGTAGATATTCTGTAAGAGGGGAAGAATGAACTCAAGTTAGAAAATTCAGTATTTTGTGTATTCAGGTATTTGAAGACCCTTTGCATCCTATGATTAAACTTCTGAATGTGAATTTGAATTATGCCAATGATAGTTAACAGGATTTACATGCACATAAATCTAATGCATTAGCAATATACACACAATCACTTTTTGTTATGAGTGTTTAATCAATAAAATGAAGGAACCTGCACTGTGACCAGACAGATTGGTTCTTAAGGTGGAAATAAAATGGATTTTTGTTCACAAATGTGTGCTCTTTGAATGTCTCAAATAATTACATCTATCAAATTAATCTATTATCTAAAAAGTAATTGACTACAGCTTTTTTTTTTTCAAGCTTAATTTTCCTTTACTCTGCTTGTTACGTCCAAGTGTGTGTCCTGTGTGTGTTTTTTCAGTTATGTCCACACTGCTGACCCTTGATTGTTCTCCCTTCCCCATTGGCCCACCATTACACCGCACTTTCAGTATGATGTCATCATCAATTAGCTCTAAGCCATTCAGAACACATCTTATTCAGCATATAACATGGAGGTTTTCAGCAAGGAGAGGCCTTTTGTTTGACTTCGGTCCCATTTGGTTATGCTTCGCTTCGCTTCGCTTCGCTTCGCTTCGCTTCGCGTGGCGTGGATTTTTGTGTGGCTTTGGCTTTGTTGTTTTGTTGGTTTTCTGTTAGTTTCTTTGTACTTTTGTTTGTTTGTGTGTTTATCCTTGTTTTGCCATTATCTTGCCCTAACATGTTACATGTTCAACTTTTTTTTGTTCTTTTGTACCCTGTTCCTGTTGATTACTCTTGTTTTCCCTTATTTGTATTCCTCGCTCAGTTGTGTTTTTGTGTGAACTTTTGTATATAAGGTTAGTTTAGGTTGTAACACTGCTCTTTTTATTTTCTTGTGATAACAGTACAAAAGCAGCAATGTCACTTAGAAAAACAATCTCATTTTCCCATTTGTATTCAGAATTCTATGTAAAGAGTGAAAGAGAATCTGTGTGCCCCAGGCTCTTTCATTGCTCTGTATTGCTCTGTTAATTCTGTTTGCATTTGGGGAAATTATTTAAATTAGAGTATTTTTACTATTTTATCTTGAAGACTTTTCACATTGGGTTTATGTACGTCCACACACCAAACTGACCAAACTAAACTCCAACCCAACCTTTAAAGTGTGCTGGGAACAATAAGAGAATTGTTCAAGCATTAATTCCACAATCATTTTTATTCTTAGTGTTTCTATTCGTCATACTCCCATGTGCCACTTGATGTGTCAGGATCCATAGGAATTTTAAAAGCAGCAAAATAAAAATACCACATTTTCTTCTACTATGCTTATAGTTGAGATTCAGAAAAGCAATAGCTCTGTCCTAACTATTTGATATAATTAAAATTAATTACATTTATAAAGTAATTTGCATCCCAAAGCGTTTCAAATATAGGAGGGTATCCTTTCTTGTGCCACTTATGAGCAGCCCAGAGATTGTGTGCCAGCAGCCCCACCGCACAACAGGCAAGGCAGAGAAGAGGAAAATCAATCCACCAGGTGAGCTACAGTACATTATATTTTACTGTAGGAGGGCTCGATTGTTCAGGCCTTGTGTGGAATTCAAATAAGACACTCGCATAATATTTAATTATCAACTAGAAAAGTCAAGACCTCTGCTTAACTAAAACAAAATACGTCCAACAGCTCTCTGTCCAAGGTCACCAAACTAGGGTGTTGGCTGGGAAATTCTGTTCCAGAGTGCCATTAACTGGTCTCCTAATACTTTACCATGTACAGCAGCAGTCTGTTTCTCCCCAGTTATCTCCAATCCCAAAACTGACCAAGTCCAACCTTGCTTAGATTCTAACAAGGTCAGGCTAAAAATTGGTAAAGCTGCAGGTATTGAACTCTCCCCCAAACTGTTTTAAACTATTAGCTCCTGCATGGTCACAAACCTCTTTCCCACATATTCTAAGCCTTAATAAGAACAGGCACATAAGGTTTGTTTTATTTCTTCATAACGTGATGTGCTTTTTTTGAAATGTCTGGTGGAGCTGCAGGCTATGTGTTGGTGAAATAAAAGAAATGTACCGTGTATTGCCTTTACTGAGCAGAGAAAACGTTACTGCAAAAAAATCTTGCTTCACAGTCTAGGTTTAAATTTCCAGTTTTATGGATACACTTTCAGCCCAGCTTTCTTCAGTTGCTACAGTGAGAGAACATAAAAGAAAAACTTCAAAATGAGGAGGGCATTTGGCCCATCTAGCTTGTTTGGTAAATAGTAGTTAACTATCCTAGGAACCCAACCAGCCATACTGTATGTGGAACGTAGCCAGTTTATCAGCTTCATTAACATGGCAGAGTAGCTTGTTCCTGACTCCCACAGCCTATTGAGTAAAGAAGTGCCTCCTGCTCTCAGTTCTAAATGCATTGTCACATAGTATTCAATTGCATCCTTTGGTTCGCGAATCACTGCTCATTCTAAAGAATTCCACTGGGGTGACTTGTCAATGTCTTTGTGAATTTTTGAATACTTTTTGAATATCCTCATAGCTTTGTTTTGTAAACACTAAAAAGGTTCAGTTCTTTTATTCTGTTAATGTAGGACATTCCTTTAAGTCTCAGAACGCATCTGGTTGCTCTTTACTAAACTAATTCCAGAAAAGCAATATCTTTTTTGTAACCTGGTGATCAAAATTGAACACAGCATTGTAAATGAGACCTGCAGTAACTAGTGCATTATACAATTTTAACATGAGATCGTTTGATTGGAATTCTATGTTTTCACCTATATAGTCTAGTATTTTTTTTTTTGCTTCCCCTCAACAACTGAGACAGGAAAGACTTTATTGGTTATGTATTAACCAAGTTGGTTGAACCAAACCTATCTCACCAAGTATTCTAAACATGCATTATGAGTTCAATTATTTTGTGTTCTTATTCCTAGTTAAAATGCATTAAAAAAATGAAAATGTTTTTTAAAGTTTCGGCTCCATGGCCGAAACGTTGTGTTTTCTTTCTTCTCTTTTCAGCATGGAATAAACCTATTACTTGTTCCTTTTTAAAGTTTGTTCAATCTCTATATTCTGAAGTTACCAGTTCAGTGGGGATATTATGATTCTCTACTGTAGCTCAAAACTATTCCTATTAGTAACATGTTAAGACTTTATTTTTTTAGAGTGGGATCTACTGTACTTAGTAATAATTGTAAATAGAGTAATACATTTGTCATAAATAACTGTTATTTAACTTATTGTTTTATACTTCCAGGAATTTCACTTCTTTAATAAAATTCATATTGGCAGGGAAATTGCCTAAGCAGTTCGGTACAATTCTGTAGTAATTGGGGGTGGCTCTGTGGTTAAGGATCTGCACCTATGACTGGAAGGTTGCCAGTTCAAATCCCGCGGCTGGCAGAGGAATCCTACTCCGTTGGGCCCCTGAGCAAGGCCCTTAACCCTAACTGCTCCAGGGGCACCATACAATGGCAGACCCTGCACTCTGACCCCAAGCTTCTCTCCCTGTTTGTGTCTCCATGGAGAAAAGCTGGGGTATGTGAAAAGACAAATTCCTAATGCAAGAAATTGTATAGGGCTAATAAAGAAACATTATTATTATATAGTATTTACATATTTTGGTGAACATATATTATCACATATATTGAGCACAAGGACATTTAGCAGTAAAACAAGAAGCATTGTTTTGCCTTCTTCTATTTCATAATATAGCAGAAAATCTGCTACTGTTATTTGGTGATGGCAGTGTTAAATAGAGAATGTAGTAGTATTATAAATGCATATAAGTATAATATGAAACCACATCAAATTCATAATAAAATAGTTCAAGCCATCTCAGGAGGAGCAAATTCAATTTCACATGTATGGACAGAGATTATTTTGCCAACCATTAATGAAAACAAACAACAGTACAAATAATAGGTTTTAGGCAGTCTGTTCTCAGCAGAATATTTTTATTGCGGATTACAACCTATGAATAATAAATACATACTGTAGTGAAGAAAACTTTGTAGGATAAAGAAACTGTGTGCTACGGATAGGAATTAATTGTTCTTTCAATAGCAGGATTATGCCCCCAAACGCATTCCTCTAACTGGAAAATATTATCAGGAGATACCCGCAGACTAAATGAGGGAGAAGAACTGGGTTGTAACATTGCTACATTGTGAGATTCCTAATTCAGATGGGTCCTCCTCTCTGCTTTGTGTTGTCATTGTTATTCCCTCATTAACAAAAGCTCAAGACCCCAGTCAGGAGCCCTGAGTGCTCACTCCATAGTTTATCATGCCCTTGGCTGCGGGGAGCTCCTTCACTGCTGAACGCACTCCTCTCACAAGCCACTGACACTCCTAACCAACCAGCCATGAGGAGGGGAAGCTATGATGATGTTGCAACTCCAATCAGCCCTGTAAGTACTTATACAACATGCATACTACATGTTTTACATATGGTCTCACATAATATATGTATCAGGAGAGATATACCTAAAAGAGATAACATATTCACTTTTCAATTTATTTCCTTTTGTTTTTCTGTGAGTCCTGCAATGGCAACAAATCCAGGCCAGTACAGTAGACTGTACCATGTACTGCTCTATGTATGATAACGATGCAGAATTACGTTTGTTTAAGCAATCATTCAGCAAACCAGTGGAAAAAAAAGATCTAATGCCAGACGTGCTTTTCCTCACTTCTGGTTTTTGGTTGGAGGTTTTTGCTGTTGAGTGTCTGAGGCTGTGCCTGGTTCACTGAGTTCATGGAGATGGTGATTAGCGTACACTATCCTTTGTTAAAAAGTTACTTGCTTTATTGAGATAAAATAGAAGACAGAAAAATGATTTCCATTCATTATGGATATTTCCATTATCATACCTGATTAATTATATTGTCTTTATTGAACTTTCTGTAACCTGTTAGGTGATATTTCCTTTCAAGGTCTGAAAGTGCACCCAAGAAAATTAATATATTTTTTGTTTTCCTACAGTTGTTACATTTTTAAGAGCCATCTTTCTTAAAGACTAAAAAGGTTCATTTTATTCTGTCAGTGTAGGACATTCCTTTAAAACCCAGGGAGTATTCTATTTATTTGTTGTTGATTTTTAGTCTTGCCATTATATATTCTTTTTGTCATTTAAGCCATTTATAAATTACCATTTGAAATCTCCTTTTCCTCCTTTGTGTATTAACAGAAATTAACAGAAAATTAATTTCTGTTATTATCTGAACATGTATAAAACTTCATGCAATAAAGTCAACCACAAATACCTACAAGTACTTAATATTTTAACTGAAAAACATATGCTATATAATTTTTAGAAAATAGAGAAAGCTGTTTGTGAGTAAATGTGAGAATAGGGTAAGTGGCATTTTTGTTCTCTGGCGCAGCACTGTTAAAAACCTGACTGACAGAGTCAAAAAGTCAAAACAAAAACAAGACAAACAAATAATTATTAACATTGGCATTAATTAACATTAAAATAGCACAACCACACAATAGGTACACTATAACACATGTACAAATCAATGCATTCCAGAGGCTTAAATCCTACAGACCTAGAAGCCCAGAAATCTTGCTGAAACCACTATGACAAACTAAAAGGGTACAACAAGATATATCCTGTGTCCTAATAAACGAATACGACTCAGAATTAAATCCCTCTCTCCACAACATGGATGTCCAGAAGTGAATGGGAATCAGTGTCACATGGCAGAATATTTGAGGAACAGGAGGATGATGGTGATGTCCCTTTTCTCTGTATCTTTTCATATGTTTCTTTCTTTTCCTTCCTTCTTTTATATCTCTGTCTCTGCATTTATACTCTGTTCCATGGCTGTTGAAGGTTCTAACACTCTAACTTAATTAACCAGTGTATATCACCGAAAGTCCCCTTTGATTTTCTGTGTTTACTGTACCTGCTCTTTACACAGTTAGAGCTAGGCAAACACCTCTACTATGCCCATTGTTGAGGTTTTCTGGGTAAAGCCTTGAGTAGTGCAACCAGGGAGTGAACTTGATTTCTCAAGTTACAACGTATCATCTCTGTGTGGGCAAGCTCTGCAGTGGATTAATATCACCTCATGAAATTGAATGTATACTGTACTTCAGCCAGTTAAGACTGAATAAAGTATCTGGTTAGTTTTAGCTAGGAGAGAATTAGAAAATGGGTTTGGTTTGAAAAACTAAATTATAAATTAATAACATAAATGCTGTATGCTTAAACCACATTGGTACATAAAGAGGAGACATTGCTGCAAAAAGGTCCTTTGTGGTTCATGAAAGGGTACAAAAATAAAACAGAAGTATCCTGAAAAAGTATTTGTTTTGGACAACACATCTACACTGTTGTGAATTAAGCATAATTAGTACAAATACAGTACACAGTACACTGCAAGTTTGCCTTCTAATCTGTATTCTGATTCAGTTCATATTACCTATAAACTCTTTTGAACACCATGGCAGCCAGCAGCCATTTCACCCTGCAACTCACAACTAGCA